AGGGCTTGTTAGTTAACTTGTTTTACTGTATCTCCCTTTGTAGGTGACATTCATTTTCATCATCCCACTTAAATAGATCTGCATTAGGATCTGCATTTTTTTCTTCAGTAGAATGAGAGTGCCATTTAAGCCTATCTGCCACAAGAGTAGTTCCTCCTCCCCAGCTCAGAGAAGAACAGATGATGCCTATAAATCTGGTAATCAGGGTAAATTTGAAATTCCTGTGTAGTTCTGAAGAATTGTTTTTAGTCCAAGTAAGTATTTAAAATCAAACAGTTGACTCTGTGAAGCAGGTTTAGAATAATTAAACAGGATGAGTCTTTGCAGGTGTTCATTATTTGACTGAAGGACGAGGTTCTGCTGCTGTAGAATTGACTGGAACCAGAGCCCTCCTGTGTGTGTGTGTGTGCACACATGTATTTCTTATTAGAAAGAAAATGTCACCATCTTACAGGTTTGTGCTATCTTGCGTGATAACCAGAGGAGCTGAGTTGCTATCAGCCTCTTCATGTTCCAGACCCACAGGGAATACAGTCTCCCGTGGGACTGCATGATGAAACCAGAAGCAAGTTCTGTGTAACCAGGCCTCTATTCTGCTTTGCAGAAGAAGGGGAAGTGGCAGCACAAAGCAGGGAGAATCTTTCACTTCTGCAGTGGAGATTTATGAGGGTCCTGTCAGTGGGAAACAGGGCAAAGCAAACATCATTTATCCAGAAACAGGTTTGTTTATGTGCTTACTAAGGCTGAAAAGGGAACTGTTGCTGCCAAATATCTGGCCTTCTCTACCCTCTGGCAAGACCCTGTATCAAATTTCATATCTTTAGTAATGGGATTTCAGGTTGTTCTATCTTTGTGATAGTTGAGGCTGGAAACAGGCTGAAAGCTTGTTCTGCAGTATGGAGGTGGTAGCTATTTTAAGGCAATATACCACCACCTTCCCTGTTACTTAAGACCTGGTAGCTCTGTGCTTTCCTTCGTAGTCACCAGCTGAAGACTCTTCTGGGGCGGTGGAGATCTCCGCTTTGGTTCTGAGGAGGAGGAATATGCAATTGTAGGGTTTGCAGTTCTGGGGAGTTGCCAGCTGCTTCGGGCTGACCTGGCAGTTCTCCATCTTGGCCCTCTAAGCTGTCTTGAAAATATGTAAAGTAGTTGGATGAAGATTTTTGCTTGAACCTACCTCATGCTTGGTAACTAAAACGTACTCTTGCTTGAATTCAGCAATACCAACTTGTAGATGATCTATATTTACTTCATTTTGGATTTGCAGGAAGGTGTCAGGGTGCGCTGTTACAGAATACCTAAAAAAAAAGAACCCTTCTCAAAACCAAAACTTTTTTTTGAGCTTTCCCGTCATCTGTTTTAGATCCTACTTTTCTTCCTTCCTTTCTCTGTGCTTTCCATTCTGGTGTTCACCTCTTTCCTTGATGGTCAAAAAAAAACTCTAACAGAGAAATGCGAGAAGATTTAAACCCGAGTGCTAGAAATCACTTGCCTGTAGCTCACTGGGAGCAGTTCTCGCCTGTGGGAAGAAGTGCACGTGGGGAGGACCTAGGCCTGTCACATCTCGCAGTCCTTGCAGCATTTGGCATCTGTGGGAAGCCAGGATGCTTCTGACAACACGGCTGCAGCTCTTGTTTTGCTTTGCTTTTAAGTATCTCTTTACTTAAAAGATGCTCTAAGGTTGATGTATGAAGTAGTAGGTGTAGTGAATTTCTGTCTCACTGGGTGGTTCTTTCTCACTCTGTCCTTTTTTTATCTCTGCTGTCAGTCTGTCTCAGGTGTCACTGACAAGATCAGCTGGTATCACATGCCTCTATAAGGCTAAATAAATTCAAGAACTAATGTTTTAGCATCTTCCTGAAATAATGTGCAATACATGTAATCTAGAATGCGTACTTTGTGTGTTCTTCCATCAGGCATTCTCAAAACCCTTCATAAACATGAATTGTCAAATATCACTGTGACATAAGTAAAGGTATATTCCAGCTTCCCTTACGGGGACATAAATTTCTGTTGTAGTTGACTCAAGACGAGGGAGCTTTTGAAAAGGGTACCAGTAGTAGGTCTTGTTCCCGAGCTCTGCTGCAAAACAATACCATGAGCAATCTACACTATCTAGATCATGTTGCAGGAAGAACTGTAAGAGCTGAACATAGGTGTGTAGAGACAAAAAAGTTTGTTTTTAACCTTTTATTTGAGTCTTTTTAAATGTGCATATCCTGTGGGGCCTGTTCTCTGAAGATAGTTGCTAAAGGTGGAGATTATAATAAAAAATAGCTTCAGCTATTTTTGGTGTGCCAGACAATCTGCTGGGAAGTCCTGTTCCTGATGGGTGTCAATCAGTATTTTCTGGCAACACAGCTGCCACAGCTCTTCTAGTTCTGGTAAAATGTAGAATGTTCGAATGGTTTGGGTTGGAAGGGACCTTAAAGACCATCTAATCCCAACCCCCCTGCCCGGGGCAGGGCCCCCTTCCCCCAGCCCAGGGGGCTCCCAGCCCCGTCCAACCTGGCCTTGAACCCTTCCAGGGAGGGGGCACCCACAGCTGCTCTGGGCACCCTGGGCCAGCACCTCCCCCCCAGCACAGGGAACAATTTCTGCCTTAGATCTCACCTAAATCTCCCCTCTGGCAGCTTAAACCCGTCCCCCCTCGTCCCACCCCCACACCCCCTGATCTAGAGTCCCCCCCCACCTTTCCTGTCCCCCCTTTAAGCCCTGGGAGGCCACTCTCAGGGTCCCCCCGGAGCCTTCTCTTCTCCAGGCTGAACCCCCCCAACTCTCTCAGCCCGGCCCCCCAGGGGAGCTGCTCCAGCCCCCCCAGCATCTCCGTGGCCTCCTCTGGCCCCGCTCGAGCAGCTCCGGGTCCTTCTGCTGTTGGGGGCCCCCGAGCTGGCCCCAGCACTGCAGGGGGGTCTCCCCAGAGCGGAGCAGAGGGGGACAATCCCCTCCCTGGCCCTGCTGCCCCCCCTGCTCTGGCTGCAGCCCAGGGCACGGGTGGGTTCTGGGCTGCCAGCGCACGGGGCTGCCTCACGGGCAGTTTTCCATCGCCGTTATCTGGAAGAGCTCAGTGTTTCCATCGCCCGTTGCGGTGCCGTGGCTGTGGCCTCTGGCCGCGCACTCGGGAGATTGGCCACCAGCTCTGTTGCTCCCGGGGTACCGGGGCTCCCCGTGGAGGTGCGGCAGCGGGCGCTGCTCCTTTCGGCCTCTCTGGCCGTAGCCTGGTCTGAGCTGAAGCTTCAGGCAGAGAAGCAGCAAGGTCACTCCTGCAGCCTGAGCTGCTCCACCGGTGCCCGGGAGGCAAAACCAGCCCGTCCCGTTGTAGCTCCTGCAGGTGGCCGTTTAGATACGGTGCCTCTAATTTTAAATGAGTTAAGTTCCATATAAGATTATTGTTCTGAGTCCTTAAAACTGACAGGTGATCGCACAGGGAGACCCAGCTCCAGATAGCATGAATCTGAAGTGTTTTCCTTAGATTTCTGGGCACGCTCAGGCATCAACATCAGAATCATTTAATGAAAAAATCGTTCTTCCTCAGTCACCTGTTCAACTCATTCTGCTTTGTTCATCGCATATACTCGATTTTACTATTTTAATTTATGTCTCTCAGCCTCCATCAGGCGCAGGATGATTGCTGTATCTGTCTTCCCCAGGCTTTTGTTTTCAGCAGATCATTTGTGACAAGCAGGTGCTACGTGTCGTTTAGAAGGACTAAAACTGATTGCTGATTGTGAGAGAAAAGAGGCTGAGCTGTGTCTCTAGATTGTGGCTTTTGTGGGGCATTTTCACTTCTGATGTGTTACATGATTTTATTATTCTTTTTTCCTCCCATTGCACAATGAAGTGATGATAATTAGATGTTGTATTTTTGTCAGACTAATAAAATAGCAAATCCACCAAGCTTTGCTTCTAATTTCATTGGTTTTTCTCAGCCTTTTGTTGTTCAGTCTGAAACTTTGTTTTTATCTGTTGCTTGTCCCCTCCACCTTTGATGATTAAAGTTGATCCCAACTAAGTGGGCAAAATATTGCATGAAAACAATTCCAAAGCCTTTATATTTATTCTGGCAAGAGAAGTTCAGCTAGCTGTAAGTGGGAAAATAGGTCAGAAATTTAAGGCCCGATAGGTGGTTGTGCATCAGGCAACAAAAAGCCCAGGAGTGTCATGTCTCTGGTTCATTTTGGTGCTGACAATTCCCACTTGTTGGCCGAAATCTCTAACAGCAGTCTTACTTTTTCCACCAGTTCAATTCTGATATGGTTCTAATCAGTTTTCAGAACCTCCGGAGCTAAAAACTCTATTGTAAACTCTCTGAAACCTCGGTTTCTCAACTTCCAAGTAGTTTCAAGTCTTTGTTGTGGGTTAGCTGCTACAATCATTTGAAGATTGTAGTAGCAAAGGAGCAAGAAGATAAATATTTCATAGTTGTTTTGGTGTCTCATTGCTACTGTTGAAAGTGCTCTGAGGACTAATGAAGTTAATGATAAATATTAGAAATTGTTTAAATCTTAATGCGGAAAATTAGGTGATTAGTATAGGGTTTGGGCCAGGAAAGCAGCCATCTGAATACAATGAATGTGTCTTCTTTTTTTTTTTTGTGGGGACTACAGAATAGCAGAGGTGTGGCTGTACTTAATGATTTTAGCACTGCTAATTTTCAGGTGATGGACAGTAATTCAGGTGAGGTCCTGCAAAAACTTCCCTTCTTTTTCTCTCAGGACTTTCAGTTATCCCTTTCCAAAGGAGAAAGACCAATTCTGTCTCGTGTGGGGGAAACACATCAAATGGTTCCTATGACAGCTAAAGCCCTCCTGTATTGCAGCTGTGTCTCCCGTCCTGCAGAGGTTGGATTTAGCAGGAGTGAGCTCATTTTTCATGGCTCATTCATTTTTTGAGCTCTTCTGTCTAAAAGCCTAGTTTTTAAAAAAAAAAAAAAAAAAGACACAAAAAAAACAAAACCAAACCCCTAAGCACAATGTTTCTTGCTTATGCCTTAACCATAGTTACCCGCTGCTGAAGCTGCCGCTGCCTGGAACAGGACCTGTGGAGTACAGCACCCCCGTGAAGGATTACTCTCCCCCCTCTCCAGAGGTGGGTCTGCAGCAAGGGGACCTCGGCGAGCGTCCCGACTGGGTGAGTCCTGCTCTGGGGTGGCTGGGTGCCCGTGGGGCGGGGGCCTGGGGGCAGATGAGGCGGTGAAACATCCCTGTTGTCTTACCTAGGCTTTGCTGTAATCAACAGAACATTTCTGGTGACGTGTTGCTTTGTGTAACTGCTAAGTTTAGGTTGTGTTTGTCTTGTATTAGTCTTTCTCTGTCAGAAAAATGGATGCTAGGCATTCGCAATAGTTAAAAGCTTTGCAACTCTGTTTAAGAGCCCATCTTTCAAGGATAACTTTATCTAAGGCAAGTAGTACGCTTTTTAAAGCACTATTGGGTTTTAAATAAGTTTAATGATGGGTTCTGGCACAACAGGCCCCAATTTCCTAATGCGATACAAAAGCATGCGGTGCCCCTCGAGCAGAAGCAGCCTCCTGCTGACACCACTTCACACACCTGCCCTTGGCCTCCTGGGAGGGCTGAGAGTAGCATTTAGTCAGCCTTTGCTGCTGTAACTGTCTGTGGAGATGCCACCAGTCGTCGTGATGGTGGTTTTGGTATTGTCAGCCTCTCTCTGAAGGGATCTGGATTCTGGCTGTCAACCAGCTTATCCTTCCAAGATCCCTAACTAGCCGTCAGAATGGGAATGTCTCTCTGGCCTGGAGGTGGAAGAAGCTCCTCAACTCTTGCATTTTTCTTTCCTTTGCCTTTAAAAATAATGCATCGAGCGGGTGGGTTTTTTCTGATGATGTAGGTAGTCTAGGCTTCACCTCCCAAGACACAGGCTTTTTTCTTAAGGTCACAATCAAGAATTTTTCATTTGAATTTTGGTTCAGGCAGGCAAAGATGCTGTCTGTGGAGCTAGCTACTACAGTGTGGTCTAGGGAGTGTAGGGATGCTTGAGGAACCTGGTGAACTGAGTATAATCTACAGGTGGGGTTTGGGTTTGTTGTTTTGTTTTGTTTTTGTTTTTGTTTTTTGTTGTTTTGTTTTGTTTTTTTGTTTTGTTTTGTTTTTTAATTGGCTGATATGTATCATGCAGGTAAATGGGACTTAGATGTTTATGTTAAGGGTAAGGAATTAACTTCTCTTTTCTATGAGCAAATTGGAACCCAGATGCTTTCCAAGAAGGCTGATAACCTGGCCCAGGAAGTGAGGAAACAACTCTAATACCATCCTTTGTAACTTGAGTTGTTCTTTTTTATTCCAGGGTCTCTCTTAAGTAGAAGTTACCTGTTGGCTTAATGCTTGTGGTGCCTCCAGCTCTCTACTCTCTCCATGTGTGCTCTTCTCACTGTGATTGAAATCGTTTGCTGCCTTCTACGCTCCCTGGTGCCACTGAGGGCCTTTTGCGCTTTGCTGTTAACTGGGGCTGCTGCTGGCTGATTAAATCTTCCTTTCTGCTTTATTGCCTAGTTCAGCTAGCAGAGCACAAAAGTTCTGGCTGCCCCGGCATGTCAGCGCTGCAGTCCCCTGAGCAGGGTCAGCAGCCTGGGCACAGAGACCAGGGAGGTTTAAGTGGCGCACAGCAGAATCAGCACAGGTTGGGGGAACCGCAGCGCTGTGAGAGGCATCTGTGAGTCCCTGCTCCTGCCTTCCACTGCAGTACCAAATTCAGCAGGAGCCAGGAGCCTCTGCCTCACAAAGCAGCGCAACAGACTGGTGCCAAAATGGTCAGTGGCGTTTCGCCTCTTCGAGAAACAGACTCTTTTTGTTCTTGCTAAGTTAGTGCTGTCATGTTTCACCTCTAATTTGGGAAAGGAAAATATAGTCTGGCAAACCCCTTCCTGAGAGGTTGCCAAGCTGTGGTCTGATTCTGCTAAGCAGCTTCCCACTCAGCGTGTGTTTTCATTCTCCCTCTGGTTTGCCCCACAGTATGTTGGTGCTCCTGTGGCCTACATTCAGCAGATCTTTGTGAAAGCTACCGTCTCCCCATGGCAGAAGAACTTCCTCGCTGTCGATGTATTTCGTTCACCCCTCTCCCGCGTCTTCCAGCTAGTGGAGGAGATTAGAAACCATGCCCTGAGAGACAGGTAATTACTGTTCATTAAAGGTGGTGTAGAAGGCAGACTGACCCACTGTGGTACACACCCATCTTCTAAATTACTGCCTCGTAAGTCTGATTATTAGCTTTGCATTTGTAAGATTCTCAAAATTAAAAGACAATGAGCCATCACTGCTAACAAGTGACATCATATCCATCCTGCATGTAGAGCAGCTTGGCTTTTGTGCTGCAGAGCTTGCCTGTCCTCTAGTCACTGACAGCTGTCAGGAACCTTCCAGTCAGAATCCTAGGCAGAGAGGTGTGGAAGGGGCCTCCAAGGTTATACCTGTTACAGCAGATAGCAGCGTCATATAATCCCTTTATAAGCATGCAAGCTTTGTATTAAAGCAAGCTCATTTGACCCCACCATGCCTATTGTGAAGCTCTTCTAGAATTTCACGTGGTCAGGAACCTTCTCCTCACTTTCCACTTCGGCTATCTTTAGGACCAGTTTATACCTGCTTGGTTTTGTCCAGACATAGTCTTTGTACAAAAATAGCTTTCCTCTGCTTCCAGATACTTACAGGGAGAACTCGTACTCCCCACCCCAAACCCTTGTTTGTTAAGCTAAACATATGAAACTCTTGGCTGACTCTGGTAAGGTGGCTCCGTGTTGGTTGCTCCCCTTGGCACTGTTAGTGTCGCGTTCCCAAACGTGGGGGATTAGAACAGTATTCTCAGAGAAGTCTCATTTGCGTGTTATTGTCCATAGACATGCCTTTCCTGAAATACAGGGAGATTGCAGGTCCCTTTTTTCATGGCCAGGCACATCAGTTTTACACATTATGAAGTGATTGATTAATGTCTCCGTGTCACTCTCTGTCATTTCCAGCTGATGAGCTCCCATCTTGTAGCAGAAACTCTTTTTAGTGCCCGAGTGCACGGCCTCGCACTTTGTACTGTTAATAGAATGGGGATTAAATTTATTCCAGCCCTCACGTCATCCGTTTCAGATACTCTGTTCCTTTTCTCTGTTAAGAGTGTTTCTTTATTTTGTGTCATTGGCAGATGTCCTTATATCTTATTCCAAGGTTAATAATAAAAATACGTAATAATCCTGGATCTCTGAACTGACTGAGAAATTCCACTTTGTTTTCCTCACGACCGGTGGTTCCCCTTTCAGCAGCTCCATGACCATTCTCCTTTTAACCTAGTTCTTTACCACATCACAGGTTTTTTTGGCTAATTTTTGTGTCTTTCCTTTTGTGAACTAAAGCATTTTCTGTGTAGTGCGGCTCCAAAAGCTTTACCGGGGCCCAAGCAGATGAGATCATCTGTACTTTCCCCATCCCAGAAGTCAGGCATTTTAAAGAAAAGAATGCTCAAACTAGTTTGGCATGCTCTCTCTTTGTAAACCCAGAATGCACTTGATACACATTAACTTGCCTCTTTTTTTTATAAATAAGTTTTCCTTCAAATTCTAAGTTTTCATCTGTGGTCAAGTTCTTGGCCGAGTTTACTTTCTAAGGGCAGAAACGCTTCCCTACTTGTCTGTCTACATTCAGTGAGAATAATGATGCTGAGAACAGGCCGGGTGTGGTGAGAAATGGTGAGATTAGAGTCTTCAATCATCTGCTAGCTTTGCAGCCAGAAGCTTTGTTCATTCTTTGTCCTCTAACACAGGTAGGGAAGATTAACTGCTTGTTCATGTTTCCTTGACTGCATCCTTCGCGGCTTCATTTTTGAGAGCGTCCACTTTACTGTTCTGCCTGATGATTTGTCCCTTTTTTTTTAAACCATTCCTTGCAAGCTGGCTGCCTGCTCTCTCTGTGGTAATTTTTTCAGAAATACGATATATGCTGTTAAATACGGAGCTCGTTCCTACCAGCTCACAAAACCTTGACACTGATATTGTTTCTGTGTTTTCAGTTCATCTCCTCCTTTATCATATGTGTAACTTCAGATAGTGATCTCTATAAAGTTGCCAATTACAAGTTAGAAACAACTTGCTCCCAGGATGCGTGTTGTCTTCTCATTATCTCCCCTTGGTGTTGCCCTTGATGAACAGTGGTGCAGCATGGAAGCAAAATTACACTTCCATGGCCACCAGAAGAAAAAGACTTAACGTAGTTAGACCTAAACCTTGGGATAAGGGCTCCCATTCTGGTGATATCTAACTTGGAGACAAATTCTGAAGTTGTCGCAAAAGTCGTTATAAAGTTCCTTGTTGTCAGTTGCTTTTGCCAGTATCGAAGTTGAGTGCAGCTGATTTTCTTAGTATCAGAAAAGGCATTCTTTTTATACTAACGTACAGAAGCAGCTGGAGATTATTGACAACTGGATAGGAAACAGAAGGTGTTTATATTTCCATCAGCTGGAAGCTTGCTGAAACTGTTGAGCAGTCATCGCTTGTGAAAAAGCCAGAAGTGACCTGAAATTTGTAGTTTGCTCCAGTTCATGTTTTCGGTATCACTCTGCATCCACAACATGCTGGTAGGGACGGACGTCAGCTGTGTGTGTTTGCCTCACAAACAAGAACGTGCATAAGCTTATCTGCAGTATAAACTGCTGTCACTGCTAGGTTTCAGAGTTCACTAGAGCTGAAATACAAAGCAATAGTTGTCTTACTCTTCCTGGAGCAGTTATCAGAGGCATCACCACATCAGTTCCTTCAAATTACCGTTCAGAAAGCTTCTGTTCCTATAAACACAGTATTTTCGAGCATATTCTCTAGTATTTCCTCCTGCTAGCTGCGACTCTCCTAGGTGTCTTGCCATAGAGTGACAGGATATAGATTCCAAAGGGAGTTTTCACAAAGACATAACTCAAATCATCATCAGTTGGTTTCCATGTTTGCTCTTCGTAATCATTATAGAAAAAAAAACTCCAGAGAAGGCATTTTACAACAGGACCCTAACTGAGTTGTCTTCTGGAGCCACCTTCTCTGTAATCTGTGAGGCTGGAGCCAGGGAAGGGCTGGTCTCTTAAACTTCAACTTAGCCTTGGTTAAATATTCCCTTCCTGGGCAAATCCCACCAGTTGCCTGTAGCGCGTAGGGGGAAGCGCTCTCTTTTGGACCGGCGGCGCTTCCCTATCTAGCCAGAAAGCGTGCTGACAGGTTTTGGCACTAAACCTTCACAGCCAGATCCTGCTGTAAGCCCAAGTTGAGTCTTGCTTGAATTACTTGTTGATAAGGATTATGCGATTGTGTTAAAATGAAGTTTGGGAACAAACACAAGTTTCATTTCATGCCAGTTACGCCTCTATTCATTTCTGAACCTGTAAGGCATTTTCTTTTCCGTATAACGCGGAGGAATTCTGGAAACATTTTGTACAGTTGCAGGTATTGAATCCTTTGTACATTTTAGAGCACTCTGTAGACCTCAAATAATCCACCTCAGGAAGGCTATTAAAAATTCCTGTAAAATGTCCCATTGCATATGTGGAAAGGAGCATTCAGAGGAGTTTAAGGTCTTTGAAGAAGAATTCCAGGGAGAGAGTTTCTCTGTAGATTGGAGGCATCTGAAATGTGGAGCTGAAAATTGTGGCACCTAGGGTGGGTGAAGAGTGGAAGCTGTGTGGGCAGGAAGAACGAGAGCAGTAACGTGGCGAGGCAGATCCTCCGGGTATGCGTCTCGGCAGCTTTGCCTGGTGTTTGTGGGAGTTGCAGCGTACTTGGCAGTGACTGACCTTTGTTTGCGTTTCAGTTCTGGTGTCAAAAGCTTGGAGGAAGTTTGCCTTCAGGTAACAGACCTTCTGCCTGGCCTCAAGAAGCTGCGGAATCTGCTCCCCGAACACGGCTGTCTGTTACTGTCTCCAGGGAACTTCTGGCAGAACGACCGAGAGCGGTTTAATGCTGACCCAGATATCATCAAAACCATCCACCAGCATGAACCAAAGACGTTACAAACATCAGCTACTCTCAAAGGTGAGACGCTGAAACACCAAAGCAGCTGTGAGAAATGCCTACAGCTTTCATCACTGTTTTGTCCTCAGTATCTCCAATGTCTAAATTGCCAATATTAACAAATTGGCTGGCATTTTCTTACTCACAGCGTCCGAAACAAAGCTACCAAATACATGTCATCTCTCTTTTTAAATCTATATGTGAACTCAGTTCTGTATCTGTGAAAAGTGAATAATGCCACTCAGTCAGAGTCCTTTCTGTAGGTGTAAAAATAGCAGGTAACTTGTCCAAGTCTTTTTGTTCCTCTTCATATGCTCTATCCTGTCTTCTTTCCTCATGCTATTGTCTGTCATGCTCAAAGACTGTCTTACTGTCACAGGTAAATGAACATTCATCCTGCTCCTTGGGCATTCACTGATAGTTGCTTGCATATACCCTGAGTTGACACTGGATATCATAAAAGTATTTTTCTCTCTTAATTAAAAAAATAAGCCTGACCATGTCTGGAATCGTACTGTTTAGTGGTTCCATAACGCCAGAGGAAATGCCATTCCTTTGGTTTTAAAGGAACTTTTTAAGTGTTGGGAAGCCTATAGCATGACATGTCTGAAAAGAGATTTTGTAACCCTAGAGTGAATTTGTTTTAAAGTTTATTTTTTGAGCATCCAGAGTGTGTGCACACTGTGGTTTGGAGCACATGGAGCCTCACTTTGAGCGCTCATTCACAGATGAGGTAGAGGTCTACAGTCTCCTGGGAATTCCTGGGAAGGGTGGCAGTGTTCTTCATATTGCATAAAGTCTTGCATTTTAGCAGAAAGGATCAACAGAAGGGACATTAAGTAGTCCTTTGCAATGCAAAGTCTTCTTGGAACTGTGTAAATCACACTCCAACATGCACAAAAAGAAACGTCCAAGGGTTTCTTTGACTGCATCCTTAAAGATAATGCCCGTCTCCTCTGTTGAAGGACAAACTGGGTGCCTTCTTGACGTGCCTGTCCACTGACACCGGAGCCTGGGGAGCAAAGACGAGGAGGTAGAGGTGTGTGCAGGCGTGGAGCTTTGCTTAGGAACGAGTGACCAGCTAGGTGAGAGCTTATGGGGTAGGATTAGAGGGCAGACCTTGTCTGCTGCTGGCTGCCCGCTCAGGAAGAAGATAACGAGGACAGACAACTTCCCCCCAGGAAGGAAGACTTCTTTTGTGTTTAAAGAGAATTTCGTGTGTTTTAATTTGTCCCCATTGCCTCTTGTCCTGCCACTGGGCACCACTGGGAAGAGTTGCTCCATCTTCTTTACTGCCCTGCACCGGGTATTTGTCAGCATTGATAAGGTCTCACCAGAGCCCTGAGAAAGTGCTTCCCATAAGAGCAGTAGTTCTCATTCAGCGTTCCTACAGTGAACACCTCTTGTATCTCCGCTTTTTTGTTTATTCTTGTTGTTATCCTAACGTTCCATTCGTACCGTGCTTTTGCAGATCTGTTGTTTGGACTGCCTGGGAAGTACAGCGGGGTGAACCTCTATAACAGGAAGCGAGTGGTATCGTACACTGTCACACTGGGTCTCCAGCGATACGATTCCAGGTGAGGAGCTTCAGGTGCACTGTTTGTGTTAGGGATCCCGTGTTCAATTCTTGGCGAGTTTGCCGTTTTCTCTACTCTGATTATTATGTATTTCTTTACTCTCCATTTTCTTGTGTGTTGGAGTATTTTAGGATCTTCTGAACGTGCTATAGAAAACCAGGGTGTTGTTTTGGGGAGAAAACTTGCTGTGTTTTAAGGAAACACAATACTATCAGTTCTCAGTTTCCCTTTAAGGCAAAGTATATATAATACCCAAAGCTGCCAGTGGGAGTTCCTCTGATGATGGCTTCATCTGCACACGGGGCTGTCAGGGTTGCAGCCAAGGCCCAGCAGGTCTGTTTTGACCCAGTTCCTGGTACACGGAGCAGTCTGCTTTCCAGTAAGCACTGACTCAGGCGGTACCAACTGTGAAACCCCTTCGGCAGTGTTGGCAAAGCTGGCTTGGTTTGAGCAGCTCTGAGGACTAAACGTTCTGCTCGGTGCTGCACAGAATTCCCTGGGGAATGCCCAGGACAGAATTGGCAGCACAGTAGTCGAACTTGCTCCGCTGCCACCCGTGCAAGAACCCTTCAGCCTCAAGGAGTGTCAGGTAGCGCCTTTCATCAGCTGCACTTCGGTAGAATTCAGGGGATGTTTGAGACTACGGCATGTTCTGTTCCCCGGGGCCAAGATTTTGGATGACGAGCCCTTGCTCCAAGTAGTTTTGCTGAGTCTTCACAGCTGTCTTTGAATCTTTGTAGAGGAATCAAGGTCTGTGAGGTTGCCACAGTACAGATGTGCCGAATGTAGTTTGGGCCGCAGAGGAACAGACTTAGGAGTCAGGCCTAGAGAGAACCGTGCTTTGTAAGTCTGTGTGAATCTATGGAGCTTCTTCCTACTGATCCATACCCACGGAGCTCCTCCTTGGAATTGCGTGCTGGTTGCTGGGGACAGTGTGAGTGACATCCCTCCGCGTGCTTTTCGTCTCAGGTTCCTCAGCAGCCTCCGCTCTCGCCTCAAGCTGCTGCACCCCAGCCCTAACTGCACGCTGCGAGAGGAGAGCATCGTTCACGTCCACTTCAAGGAGGAGATTGGCATCGCTGAGCTGATACCCCTCGTCACCACCTACATTATTCTCTTCGCTTACATCTACTTCTCCACACGTAGGTTTGTGGGGTGGAGCGCCTGGAGGGGAGAGCAAGCTAGTAAGCCACCTGCCAGCTGAGTATATGTAAGGGATCAGTGGTGCAGTCCCTTTCCCTGGCTACAGATGAGAGAGACGAGAGAGTCCTGTTCGTAGCATTGCAGTTCCCCCCCTTTCAGCACGAAAGGTGGTGGTGGAATGCCGCCCTGGACTGTCAAGGAGAGATTTAGTAGTCCTGTTTATCCGATTTCTGCTAATTTGTCCCTCTTAGCCAGTGTGGTGTTACTCCTTGTGATACCTTCTGAGGTGTTTTCTCTCTTAGGCGGCGTTAAAAGCCATAGTAATGACATTTTTTCCAGCTTAGAGAGACAAATTCATTGTCAGACAGATCAAACACATGTTCTGAGCTCGTGGGTGTAGATCTTACTAGCCACATTCAAGTTTCTTTTTTTCATGCCTCAGCAGTGATGTACTGGAACTAGTTTGAGCTGCAAGCCATGCACTATCCTCTGTCCCACCCTTGTGACAGGCTGGGAGGGTCTGGGAGCTGCATTTCAGACAGTGAGACTGAACTACCATCGCTTCTGGGCTGCAGAAGTGCATTAAGCTACCTGCTGAAATAAGTCAGAATGAGGATCCCGTCTTGATTTTTTTATTAATATGTCATTTTCTTCTGCTTGGTAACGGAGACTTTGCATTCTGTTTTCCAGGGAAGATTGACATGGTGAAATCGAAATGGGGGCTGGCACTGGCAGCGGTTGTGACGGTGCTCAGCTCTCTCCTCATGTCCGTGGGGCTGTGCACACTGTTTGGTTTGACACCTACTCTTAATGGAGGGTATGTTTCCAGCACCAAACCTCTTCCTAAAGAAGGGTAGATGGAGGTGAAATAATTTGAAAACAGCTGTTAAATCCTTAATCTTTAAGATCTGGTATTTTTCAGATGAGCTTGTGCGATGCTATTTCGTACACCGCTGTGCAGATTTATCATCAGGTGCTCTCCTGGGCTGAAGGGCCACGTGTCGCTCTGCTGGGCAGCAAATAAACCTGCCTTGGTCCCAGTCTTCCTGGAGATGCCTTATTGCTTAGCATTTGGGTCTTTCTGCCTAAAGCAGAGGCAGAAGGAATTGTTGGGACAACATCTTGTTCATAACTTGATATCCTGGCAGCAGAGCAGGCTCTCACATTCCTTCCTCCTGCAGTGACTTGTAGCATCCAGAAGGGCTTGTTGCCTTTTCTCTGGCTGACGGGGTTCATTACATTTTACTCAGGAAAAACCTTTCAAGGTGGCAGAACTGACCTGTGGTGTTTGTACCTGGGAGACTACCTGGGTGACTTTGCACCCACCACTGATAGTTGTCGGCTCTCCTTTTAACTGGGGTTCCTGCGCATGTCAGAGTTGGCATGTGGGGCTTTTGATGTGCTTACTGCCGTGTGTGACATTTGAGTCAAGCTGGAAACCCCTGAGAAAGCTCCAACTGGCACCTCACCTACCCGAGTTCTACCCACTGTTCATCTCTCATTAATTAAAGTTCAGTTCAGAATCTTTCTTTTGATTTTTCCAATCCCTTTCCTAAGTAGTTAAGGAAATAGCCATCGTTTTTCTTCCCATCTCCTCCTTGGAGCTATACACCGCAGGAACAATGAAAAGTCTGACCCATGAGGAAGACTCCTTAATGCTGGTGATAATTTACCAGGAGCCAGACCTAGGTGGAGGAATTTCTCTTCCAGAAGCCTAAAAGAGCTATGAATAATTCTCCTCAGAAAATTAAATACTTGCTGTTTCTGTTTTTACTGCTGTGGTGCCTTGGAACCTTAATTATTTATCAAAAGCACATTGTTCTGTGAGCTGTACAGATACAACAGATAGGATCCACTGGGAGTTTGTAATTTTAATGCAAGAAAAAAGGCAATATTTGAATGCAAATACAATCCAGAGGAACAGTTTTGGTTAGTGCAATGTCCGAGGTCTTTGTATCCTATCACCCTTACTGTTGTCACACAGATAGAAGGAGTTAATTCAGTCTCTATTTCTAAAACTAGTTTTTCAACAAAATTTCTTTGCCTTAAAATGATTGCGTGGACAATTTCCTTTGGGGTTGAAACTTAATTCTTGCAATACTTTATAAATTGTGTCTAATTAGATGGAAGACCCTTGGATTTGGTGGTGGTGGTGTCTGATGACATTGAGGTTTCTTTTACTTTTGGTGAGTGACCTTTTCCTGATTCCCCAGTGTCTGCCAGAGAACTTTCCCTCTAATCTGTCTGGAGACAGCATGTTCTTGGTGTGCCACATACCAGTGGCAACGTGCTAGGATTTGGCCAGTTTAGGGTGCAGAGTCCAGTCAAACTTTGATCTGACTTTCAGCCTTTTTAATCCGTTTTGTTTACAGCAGAGCCTTGCAGGTGTGGGTGTGTTTGTTTTTAATGGTACCTGTATTTATGATAAGCCTTTTTCCCTCGTTGGCTTTTGTAAGGTTTTCAAATAAAGCTGTTAGCTTGCTGCAGATATGATATATAAACTAGACCTTAATCGTGATCAATGAACTTCTATAATGAAGTAAAACGATTATAGGTGAGGTAGGCAGTAATCTTATTTTATGGAAAAGAAAACTAGGCGAAAATAGGTGACATGATCTGTGCAGGATTTAAGAAGGAATAAACAGAGGTGAGGGGAATGCCTGGAGTTCACTGGCAGTGGGATTCCTGCGCGCTGGTGGGCTGGAGGAGTCTCCAGGTGAGGCCAGAGCACAAGCCACCAACCCACCGGTTGGCGTCTCGGCGAGGTTAGAGGAATCACAGTCTGAAATTAGGAACCCCTTGTTGCCTATAAAAAAAGGCCTGAACAGACCAGCTCAAATGTGAACATTTAAGAGGGGTTGACGTGATAAATTATTAAATCTTCCAAACATACTGGATAAACCAGAGATTGTTCACAAGTATATATGGAGTCAGAGAAGAAGCATTTTCTTTGAGTTGGAAGTAGTGTTTCTGTTGACTCTGGGGTGCTGGATCATGCTATGATGCAGCACCTTCCGTCACCGAAGCGGTAAGCGAAGTGTAAATGTTTCAGTAGATGGACACGATACGGCATCTCCCCTTGCTCTTCCTCTTAGGAGCTCTTTCTCAGTGCTTGGCATTGTGTGGTGGAAAATACAACGAGGATCTCTTGCCACCTGCCTCCTGCTGAGCTGGGGACACGTGAACTCAGGTTTTGGAGCTGCAGGGCGTGAGCAGCTTGTGTTTGTCCCGCGCGGGGTTGCATTACTCTTCAAGAAAAGCTGATGTCTCATTGCTTTGAAACTGCTGGTCATTTCACGTGGAAACTGCTGACCCTTCAAGGACTCTTGAAACTCATAACCTGGGACTATCAGTTAATTATCTTCCGCAGTAGAAGCTGCGGTTTGAGTAGGACATAGTTGGTGAGAGAACGATGAGTTTTCTTTTCCGTATTTGCACTGCCTTCTCAGGGCTTACTGCAGCTTACCTGGAAATGGCAGGGGGACCCCCTGCCTGTCTTGCAGGACTGTGCCTAAGGCCGGGGCTCTGCAAGGGCTCTGCAGCAGCGTGCTCTGCAGATAACGTGCTCTGCAGGACGGCGCTGCGCTCTGCCGGGCACCAGAGTTCTCCCTCGTGTTTGTTGCATTCTCTTTATGGAGAGATTTCCCTCCCTGAGGATTACGAAGAGCTTTTCTTAGATCTGTCTCCTGTCCTAAAGTACTGCTTGGAGGAATGACGCAGGTTATGGGCTGAAAATGCTTTAGATAAAGGCAGGACTGAGTTATACTTGCTAGATTTTGGATTTTTTGACATTACCGGGAAGTTGCCCAAGAGAGGCTTATATATATTTGTATTTTTTTTTTTCACTCACTACAGAAGTTCACTGCCTGTGCAGCAGGAGATGAAGTGACCAATGTGTTGTGCAGTTGTTAGAGCTAAAATTTGGTTAGGATACCTGGAGAAGGATGCGTGGAGTTTGTTTTTTTGTAATCTTGCTTTCAGCTGAGCTCTTGCTGTTTCAGCTTGCCTTTTGTTGAAGGAATCAACTGGAATGAAGCAGCTAAGCTAGCAGTGGTTCCAGACAGATGTTTTTCCCCAGCTGAGCTTGTAAGGTACAGGCTGCTGACAAATGTGTGCAAATGCTGTTGAAGCCCATGTTGGATGGCTGTAGGCGATTGAAACAGCATTTGGAAGGGGGTCCTTGAGGGCTATGGCAGGTACTGACAGAAAGCAGGAGATGTTCTTCTGAAATGCTGTTGTTTACCTGTCTTGGCTGCTAGTGACGTGCCAAGGGAGGTGTGTGCATGCACGCACGCACATTCTCCTTTTGGATTACCCGTACATCCCAGCACAGCACAAATCCATTACCTCCCGCAAGGAAAACTTTAGTATTTTTGCTTGAGTTTAGCTGGAGGGAAACGAAGAGATTTACTATCTGCCATGTTCTGGCATGGAACAGCTCCTTCTGATCAGGGCTGCAAGTAGTTCAAAAGAGAGGAAAAAAAATTATGGGTTAGAGGAATAGTTGAGTAAAGTCATGGTGGTGACCTTGGGTAGTCTTGCTTTTTCTGCGTGCGTATATTCTGAAGGGCAACTGCACTTCAGTGTGCTTTCGTGGCTCTTGGGTAGAAACTATCCCTGGCAGGATCTAGATTATTTATGTACAAAGCGTATACACCTTTAATGTTGTTCTCCATCTTCTGAGCTACCTGGTGTACTGGAGAACAGAGCTCCACACGCGTTAATTTATCTCCTCCCAACAGAGAAGCCCCTTCATGTGTCCCCTACGCTGCCCGAGGCTGGATCGCTTACAGCAGCTGCAAGGTGTGGGAGCTTTTGCCCACTGGGGATCTGAGCCAGGCACTGCCCACGCTCTTCACTTGAGAGTTTGTTTGTGGGTTTTTTTTTTTTTTTCAAAGAAGTTTTGTTTAATGTCATGCCTAGCTGTGATTTATCAGAATTTTCACTGTTGGTGGTGGGACCTGCTCGCTGCCCTCTTGTTACAATGCTGGTTTGCTGACTGAGTCTACTGCAGTGGTGTTCAAAGTCCACCTTTTTGATTTGCACCTCTTTCTTTGTACTAGGTGCTGGAGAGACTCGTAGAAGGGCACTGTCCCAACCCTAGGAAGCATTAGGACCAATTTAGTGGTAGACTACAACGGCCATTTTCCAGAAAATTGTGCAGCTTTGCAAAAATGTTAATATCTGTCCAAAGCAGATGAAATACAGAACCCTTACCTCATCACAGAGTAATATTGTATGAGAAGAGATTTGGCTAAGAGCACTGGACAGTGTTTCCTCACCTTGACTGTTGGATGTGTGTTTGCTGCTGAACTTGCGTCCTTCTCTTCTTTTTCACCAAGGATCTCATTCTCAGTTCTGGTTTTGTTTCTTCTAGAGAGATATTTCCATACTTGGTTGTAGTGATTGGCCTGGAGAACGTGTTGGTTCTCACCAAGTCAGTTGTCTCTACGCCCGTTGACCTGGAAGTGAAGCTGCGCATCGCCCAAGGTATGCAGCTGGCTCTGGGAAACTGTTAAGAGAGAGAAAATCAGGGTCACCCAAGGACTGGGAGATGGCAAATGATCTTAATTCTGGTCTGTGATGGAAACAAGGACTGGGTGTGCTGAATGTGAATTGTATTCTGTTAGTCCTTGTGTACTGTTTCTCGTAATTCCAAGGACTAAGAAAGCCTGTAATTGTAGGCACTGCTTTTTAAGACTGTTGACTAAACAAGTTTAAAAAAGTGTTTTGTAAGGGAGAGCTGTATCTCCTGGTATAGATAGTTAGTACCTTGACCTCTCATGTCATGGTTATCGTAAGTGCAGTCCACAGGTCATAGGAAGTTCTGCTGAGTCTGTGATAAAATTATCTTCTCTCTTATTGATACACTCTGTACCTGCATATGGATTTGAGCGTGCTCAAACCATGGATAAGTAGAGTTGGCAAACTTAAAAAGATGTTTCTAAACGTCAGAGAAGATCGATTCTAGAGTGATGCCTAGAAAAATCTATCTAGTTTTAAAAATACAGGTGGCTGTATCCTGGATTGAAAACAGGACTCAAAACCTCAGTGGTCCTTTACTCTTCTGGATCCCTGTACTGCCCCGTGCAGTACCCTCTGACTGCTTAAATCAGGGCAGTTTTGGGAGCTGAGAGAGTTATCCTGAGCTCCCTTTGTAGTTAATGATAATCCCGCTAACACAGACATTGGGAGTCTACAGTCCAGTTCTTTGACTTGGGTATTCAAAATAGGTCAGATGAATTTTAGTCTGAAAGTGCCTTTTTTGCCTATTGTCTATAGACACCTAATTTTAGAGAAGGGAAATCCAATTCCTTTTTGCTGTGCTCACGTCTGTCCACTAATGAACAGTCTCCTTTTACCGGTCTTTGCATGTTCTTTCTCCAGGCTTGAGCAATGAGAGCTGGTCGATAATGAAGAATATGGCAACAGAGCTTGGGATCATCTTGATCGGGTATTTCACCCTTGTCCCGGCCATCCAGGTGAGCGTGGCTGATGGGTTGGACTTTGCGGGACAGAGGCTTGTAGGCACTGCAGGAATGCAGTGTGCAATATTCTGCTCCCCTCCCTGTTGGGCTTAAGAGTCTGTTAGTGGGAAATACAGACATCTCTGCAACGTGGAGCCCTCCAGGAGCTAGCCACCTGGCCAGCAGCTGCCGCTGGGTTCCCAGAGTGGGCCACGAAGATGCTCGGGAGGATGGAGCAGCTCCCATGGGAGGCCGGGCTGAGAGAGTTGGGGGGGTTCAGCCTGGAGAAGAGAAGGCTCCGGGGGGACCTTCGAGCAGCCTCCCAGGGCTTAAAGGGGGGGACAGGAGAGGTGGGGGGGGACTCTGGGTCAGGGGGTGGGGGTAGGATGAGGGGGGACGGGTTTAAGCTGCCAGAGGGGAGATTTAGGTGAGATCTAAGGCAGAAATTGTTCCCTGTGCGGGGGGGGAGGCGCTGGCCCAGGGTGCCCAGAGCAGCTGTGGGTGCCCCCTCCCTGGAAGGGTTCAAGGCCAGGTTGGACGGGGCTGGGAGCCCCCTGGGCTGGAGGAAGGGGGCCCTGCCCGGGGCAGGGGGGGGGCACTGGGGGGGCTTTAAGGTCCCTCCCAGCCCAAACCAGGCTGTGATTCTGTTCATCCCATGGTTGGACCTGGATCCTCGCTCTCCCCAGTTGCCTTACACACATTACCCCCCACTCCCCCCTCCTCCTCCAAGTGCAAGTACGTCTCCCAGTCCCCCCCCCCAGCCCCATAGTCCCTCTGGCAGTTGGCCTGGAGCCCCTGGTCCATCTGATAACCAGCTCCTCCAGCTCTCTGGCTCAGGGACACACACAAACCTGGCTCCCACGCCGCTCACTCTGCTCACCTGGCTCAGCAGTCACCAGTGGTCGCACGCAGCCCCGCGTGCCCTGACGTGCCCCAGTTGCTGGTGACCCAGCCACGCGGGCTCCTGTGCCCCGTGGTCCCCGTTCCAGTTCCTGGGGCTTAGACCCTGCTCGCTCCAGCTGCCGGCACCTCAGACCCAGGGGCTCTGGCAGGACACGGGGGTTTGGGGAGCCTCTCGCGTTGGCTCACCGTGGTGGTTGTCACCCCCGGCCGTGGGCCTGGTCCCTTTGCTGGGGCAGCTGGAGGACGGGCTCATTTCCCACCTCACCATCCGTCCATGCTCCTGGTGTTTGTGAAAATGAGCTTCCTGCCGCAGAGCTGAACGCTGCCCGGGGTCTTTGCTGTGGGGATGGCTTTATTCCAACCTTGAAGTGCCTTTTTGTGAGCTGGCTAATCCACCTTGTAAGTGGATGGAAGGAAAAACCAAAACCCTACCGCTGACTGTGTGCTTCAAGAATTGGAGTGGACAGTCTGTTTGGGGTTCTTTCACCAGATTGACAATTCTGCAGGTTTTTGCAACCACAGGTATCACTGTCTCTGTTTCACGGGTGGGTAAACAGAAACCTCAAGGTAGAGTGATGTGTCAGGGGTCGTGTCGTTGGGTCTGTGCTGCACTGAGAATGGTGGCAAGGTCTTCTGCCTCGCAGTGCGTTATTTTCTCTGCTGCAGTCCCCTCTGCAGGCCTGCGCTCGCTGAGCTGTGTCAGGAAGCTGACACCATTTGATTTCTGGACCTTGAGCAAGCAGGGCTTGTTCCAGGTGAGCTACACGGACAGAAGCACTGCCTAGACAAACCCTCATCACCAATTCCCCAGCACCTCTGCAGCCAGACTTCAGGGAGGTGTCAGCTTGTTGTCGCTGGAAGTTGCTGGCAGGGGCAGTGGGCAAGGGGAGGGCAGGAGCACCCCAGGATCTGCTCTGGGCCCTCCTTGGCCACGCGCGACCTGCGTCAAGGGGGTGGGCAGGGCATATCCTTGCTTTAACAGCAGGAACTCGCCAGTCGAGACTGCAGATTAAAGTGTATTATAATCTGAGTAGGTTAAACATTCAGGCTGGGCACTGAAGGCTAAACTTTGCAGTTCCTGAGCTGCTAAGAGGCCAGCAGGAGAGGAGCTACGGTAGAATTCCCCGGGCTACAGCCGGCCACCTATTGTGGCCTAATTTTTTTTATCTGAAGCTGATCTCAGAGATCGCTCAGCTCAAACGCCGGCATGGTCCATCCTCTGGGTCTAAACTGGGCTCGTTCATGTGCTATATTGGCACCTTTTGGCCTCTGCTCCATCGCTGCGCTGCTCGACCTGGGAGATTGCAATGTGTGAGGCGAGCGTGGCGCCGGCAGCCCGGCCCTGTGGATGCTGCTGGGACAGTTCACTTTCTTGTTGCACTTTGCTGTAGCAGAGCTTGCAGGGCGCGCTGATTACGGGAGACAAAGGGTGTGCTGACAGAGCCACGGGGCAAAGTGACACCGTGCCCCCCCCCCGTGTCCTCTCTGTCAAACGCTCCTGTTCATGACGGCGTTTTGACGCATCCTCTCCGCGTGATCCTCTCTTTCCTTGGATGCTTGCTTTCTCCAGAAGAAGAATCTCGCAGGGGTGCTGTCTCCTAAAGGCTGATGGCTGCTCTGCTGGAGCCTGGAGCACACCCCTTATCTCCGTCCCTGAGAGTGAAGGACACTGTACAGATAGCGTGCTGTCCCCGCGTTGCAGAGTCCAAGGAAGCTGGCAGAAAGAGAGCCAGGCTGCGTAAATCTGGCAGGGACCTTTGCTCTCGGCTGTCCGAGGGAGCAGTGCCGTGCCGGGGTGGTGGAGGTGCTGCCTGGTGCGGGGAAGGACAGAAGAGGGGGGGCATTTCTTTCCTGAAGCTCTCACCTGCCCCCAGGGCTGTCGTGGGTCTCGTTGTTTGGCTCAGTTACTCAGTTACGGTGCCGGCACGCGGCAGGCGTGCGCGCCGAGCGCTCGGCCTCTGCTTTTCACCTCTTGGCCATCGCCCTGTGCCGGAGGTCACGCGCCGAGAGCCCAGTCCTGCGCCCAGGGAAATCACTTGGGGTTTTCCTGTAGGGCGTGCAGTATCCAAGTAGAAGAAGATTTTAGGTTTCCAGAGCTGGCAGCTTCAGATGTCTCTAATCCGAAGTGGAGGTATTACTAGAATTGATATCTCTCGGCGCAGAGCCTGCGGTTTGTGGAGCCTGTGTGTGCTGAGGGCCGGGTGAAATCCAGGTGGATCTTACTCTCCTGGTTTTCTCCTTGAGAGAGGAACCCGTGTTGTGTTTTCATCCCTCTGCTCCCAAAACCTCCTGTCGGATGCTGGGGAAGGGGCTAAAGAGAGAGGCCTGATCAGAACGTGCTTCCTTCTGCTGCTGTTGCTGGGAGGTTTGGGGAGGGGCAGCTGGCCTGGTGGGTTATCGGCTTTCGTATCGCGCTGCTTTTTAAATAGCAAGCAGCTGGTTGCTCGTTTCGAGACCAGTTTGGACAGGATGGGGAGGCGTCAAGGTTTGTTTTGAGGTTTTGAATAGCCTTTCATGCTCTCTCTTTTTCATTTCACGGTGCTGATGTTGGCCTTCAGCCTCACCCGAGGAGCTGGGGCAGACGGAGGAAGGAGGGGGACAAAAGAAATGAATCTCTGCGGCCTCTCCCCTTGCCTGTAGGTGGATGTGTCCTGGCCTGGTCTGTAGGTAGCAAGCATGTCGCCAGGCTAGCGGGCCAGCAGTGAATGCACGGGGTGTTTGCCAGCTCTGTTCTGCAAGGGAGGGCCAGAGCCTTTCATCTCTTGTTTAGCCTAAGGTTCTTACTCCCGCTGGCGTTCAGCTTTCTTGATCTCTCCATGTTTACTAGATCCTTTTTGGGTCCTGACAGGTCCTGGCAGAAATTTGTACCTTCGAGGGAAACAAAACGCCTCCCAAAAATATTTTAATTCCGTGGTGCTGGGAAGTTTTGGATGTAGTGGGGGAGAAGGGATGTCACTTGGTACTTACGGGGAGTAGGGTAAGAGTGTGCATTTGTTTTATAGGGATGAGCTGGGAGTTGACTGTTTTTCTGCTGCTGGGCAGAATCTTTTATTCCTTATTTCTGCAGTGGCACCTGCTGGGGAAAGTGGAGCATTACAGGGCGTTTAGAAAGCACCAGCTTTTGCAAGTGTGGTTTCCCATATACTTGGTGTTTAGAGACTTCCGAGAGTGGGGATGGGAATTTTCTTCCAGGGCCGTAGGAAAGAAATTTGCCCGTCCAGTGCCGAATTAGCCAAAAGTGGGGTTTAAGCAGAAATGGTTTAGCTGGGGCCCGGAGAATGGCTGCGAACAAGTGCACAGATGTGCAGCAACTTCAGTGGTCTGTCTGTGACTGGAGAGGGAGTGGTCCAGTCCCCGAGCAGCCCGTGCTCCCGGAGGAGTTTCAAATCAGGGCTGAGGTTTACTGGTGAGGTGCAGGAAGCTGTTTGGCCCTGGGGGTGGAACTCCTGGCCGGGAGGCTGAGAGCTCTGCTGCCGCCCTGCCACGGCTTTGGGAACTGGGGAAAACATCCTCTGCGGGTTTTTCCTGTGCTGCTTTGATGGTTTATGGCTAGGGAGAACAAAGGATGTGAATCTGAATAAATACGCTCTTGAGTTCCCACGTGGACTTTTCTAGCACTAAACTCTATTACAAAATATCGATAATGGGATTTTTCAGTAAAACAGACTCAGGCCAGCTCTCTGGGCAGGAGTTTGCTGAACCTCCCTTTTTTCTGAAGTTGAAATATTTACCGTTGTCCCTGCAGCTGTGGTGGCTAATCAGTGTGTCCTGTCTGCAGGAGTTCTGCCTCTTTGCTGTGGTCGGCCTGGTGTCTGACTTCTTCCTGCAGATGTTTTTCTTCACTACGGTGCTGTCCATTGACATTCGCCGTATGGAGGTAAGGAAAGGGCCACGAACAGGGGGGTTTTGCCTTGGGTTTTCCTTCTCTGCCGCTGTGGAAGGGTTAGAGGAAGCACGGCCTAAGATTTTTCACTCTCTAAACAGAAAAGACCAGGCTATAAAAGTTCCGGGGCAGCACTTGCTTGATTCACATGTGCAGGGCTTGGGGACAGGATGCCTGAGGGAGCGAGGCACCCTCGGGTGTCTAAGCGTGAAGGGTTGGGGTAGATGGGCTGGGAGGAGACACGGCCACAAACAGACGACCGTGGCTGGGCGAAGAAGGGAGAGAGCGTGCTGGGGAGAAGCTGGGACAGATTGACTCGAGGGTGAAGGTGGGAACTCGGGGGTGGGCATGTATCGAAGGTCGCTGTCCCCACACACGTTTCTCTGGGGGGGGGGGGGGGGGATCTCCCCCTCCGTGGCTCTCACGGGTTTGCTTCTCTCTCGGCAGCTCGCTGATCTGAACAAGCGGTTGCCCGCAGAAGCCTGCCTGCCCCCGGCGAAGCCTGCCAGCCGCTCGCAGCGCTACGAGCGCCAGCCAGCCCTGCGGCCTGCCACCCCCCACACCATCACCCTGCAGCCCTCGTCTTTCAGGAATCTGCGCCTGCCGAAGAGGCTGCGGGTGATTTATTTCTTCGCCAGGACCCGCCTGGCCCAGAGACTCATCATGGTACGGCGCGTGGCGTTGGTTATCCGCTGCCCCTTCCTGCTGGACACTAACCCAACCCAAACTGGCTTCCAGGGGGGGGGGAAAAAAGCCCCACGTTTCCATGCGTGCTTGTTCCCCTGCTAGACTTACTGCCCTGTGGTAAATACCATTCAGGAAGTAATTCCCTGAGAGCATCGCTCGACATGCGTTAGCTCCAGGGCTCTGCCGTTTGCGTGATGTTCGGGTAATTTTCTGCTATTTACTTCGAGACAAAAATCTGCTTTTTCTATAAGCAGGTTTTCAGAGAATCCTGGACTGGTTTGGGTTGGAAGGGACCTTAAAGATTATCTAGTTCCAACCCCCTGCCACGGGCAGGGACAGCGTGTTCAAGGACTGTATGAGAGAAGGTTTTTACAGAGCAGAAATCCTGCTTTGTTCCCGCAGACAATGCGGGCTAAAGACACGGAGGTGCTTTGCTACACAAAAGACTGAGGCTTTTCCTCTTGCAGGTGTAACCGCAGCGGTTACACCAGTCACTGCCCCTGCTCGTCCCCCCCCCATCTCTGTTCCGGGTGTCTGTAACAGAGGCGGAGGGACGGGTGTGTTCCTCAGCTCTGCAGACCACAGCCCGGGCCGTTGCTGCCAACTAACGTGACGGCGGTTTAATTTAAATTCACGCGTCGGTCTGTGACCGGTGGCTGCTGCGGTGGGTCTGGCAGAGGTCAGGAACCAGCACCCTGAGTGAAGCTTTTCCAGCCCGGTTTGAGGGCGGCAGGCCTGCTGGTGCCGCCCGCCAGCACGGAGTCTCTTCCTGCTGTGCCTTCGTGCGGGAGAAGCGGGGTTCTCGCCGTCGGGGCGGCTTGGATGGCTCGTGGGAAAGCGGCCTGCGGTTTTCTGTGCGTGCTCTGCGAGCTCTCCCCATCCTCTGAGGGGATGAGTGTCTGCTGGGAGCGTGGGCGTAGCGGGGCGCGGGGTGCCCCCTTGGCTGGGGCGGTGTCGCTCAGCTCCGGCGGCGGCGTTGGAGGAGGAGTGGGGAGGCCGGGTGCTGAACGGGCTTGTCTCTTTGCTCGTCGTGCGCAGGCGGGGACGGTGATCTGGATTGGAATCCTGGTTTACACGGATCCTGCTGGTCTCCGCACCTACCTCACGTCCCAGGTCACCGAACAGAGTCCTTTGGGTGAAGCAGGTCTGCCTCCTATGCCTGTTCCTGGAGGGGTCCTACCTGCTGGGGACCCCAAGATTGATCTCTCAGTCTTCCCATCGGACCCTATACAGCTGTCAGAAAACCAGACGCAGCAGCGCGAGCAGAAATCAGGGCTGGAGTCCCTGAGCAGGCTGGAGACAAACCAGCACACGTGGGCCCAAGGACCAGAGGGCAAAGGGAATGGACAGGCGGAGCTTGGAACTGAAGCAGAGGTTACCTGGGGAGCAGAGGATGAGGAGATTTGGAGGAAGCTTTCCTTCAGACACTGGCCATCTCTCTTCAGCTACTACAATATCACCCTGGCCAAGAGGCAAGTGGGCTGGCATCGAGTGCTTTGAGTTGTGGGATTGACCCCAAACCTTTTTCTTTCTTCTGTCCTTTGTCCTCCCGCGTTAGATAATTTGCGTTCCACGCGGCGTACTCCAAACGTGTCTTCAGCAGGAGACTGTTCACCAGGCCCTCCTGTGTGGTGCGGAGGTACCGGACTCTCCAGGGCTGTTTGAGGGTTGTGTTTCTCTCTCTGCTTTTGGGTGTATTACTTCCTTGTTGTCTTGAGCCTGGAGATGACGTTCAGAGTTTTGTAAAACGATGTATGACCATCTGTAAGTGGTGGGGATGGCACATGTGAGGAGTAGAGACATCTGAGCTGAAGAAACTTCTTGGTGAGATCTTCTGGCCTGCGGGAAACTGGACCAGATCGTTCTCTCCTTCCTTAAATCTGTGTGATCCGTTTGACCTCATGAGCAGGTCCTTCCCGTGTTAGCTCTTAACCTCTCCCACAGAGTTAAGGGTTAAGACCTGGGAAATACCTTTAGAGAAAAATATTTCAGAGGAGGTCTTTAGGATACTTAAGACTCCTGGACTGAAAGTACATACTCAGCCCTACCTTGGCTGCTCGTGGGAAGATGGGCTTAGGTTAGCTGTTGGGATTTTTGTGCTTGTTGTCCCTAAGCTCTTCCCACCTTTCCTTTCCTTCAGGTACATCAGCATCCTCCCAGCGATCCCTGTCACGCTGTACCTGAACCCACAAGAGGCCTTAGAAGTGCGGCATCCCCAGGAGGCTAACCGCTACCACCCCTTCTTCTCTGCGAGCGCTGGGAAGCTGGACGCTGCAGCTCGGCCTGACCAAGCCTCCTCCAGGCTGCAGGGGCACCAGGATGTCACTCTTTACAAGTAAAAGAGTCCTCGAAACGCCCCTCTGACCCTTGGAGACGCGCGTTGCTCTTTGCCCCTTTGGCTCATCTCCTGGCGGGAGGCCAAACAACACGTGTTAAAGCTCCGGTGCAAAATCCTGTAATGCTCGGGACGCGCCGGCTCGGCCGGCGCCGCGTTAAATTAATCTCTCTCCTGGCACCGTTTTCCCCAGCAGCTGAGTTCCCTGGCAGGAGGGGGGGGGGTGTGCATCCCGGGTTGTAAGCGCACGTGGTGCGTCCCGGGGTTTATCTCTGGGCTAGGAGTTCCTCTTTGGGAATAAATGTCGTGATGCAGTAACGTTTTGGGGGGGGGGGTAGATCAAACTCTTGTGCGAGACCTCCCTTCCCTGCCGAGAGGGCGGGCGCGCAGCTCGCCCTCTGAATCTGCAGTTCCCCTTTGGCTCTGCAGAACACCCTTGATATTACCCCAGGCCCCGTCGAGTGTTTTTCTTACTGTCTGAATTGCTGTGTACTTTTCTTACTGAAAAGTCTGAAAATCTTGTGGAAATCTCCATTTCCCATTAAAAAAAAAAAAAAAAAAAGCCTTTTCATTTTCCAGAAACCGCTATAGCTTACTGAAAATTTTTCTCGGCTGAAAAATTCAGACCAGCAACACGTGGAATATTTGCACAGGATGTTTCAAACTCTGTCTGCGGAGTTAGCAGCTGGATCTTTATCTCACCTTCGTTTTGTCTTTGTCTCTCCCCCCAGGGTGGCTGCTCTGGGCCTGGCCTCGGGCATTATCCTGGTCCTCCTGCTCTTCTGCCTGTACAGGGTGTTCTGCCCCAAAAACTACGGGCAGAACGGGCTCTCGCACAGCAGGAGGAAGAGGGGGGACCTGCCCTGTGACGATTACGGCTACTCCCCGCCCGAGACCGAGATCGTCCCCTTGGTTCTCCGGGGTCACCTCATGGTAGGTGGGACAGGAAGGGAAGGGCCTTTGGCCGACATGCACCACACATCTTCTGGTTCCTTCGTTTTACTTAAATAACAGACCGGCTGTGCAGCCTTGGCACGACGCACCCGTGGAGGCTAACGGCCGGGGCGAATGCTCTAGATGCACAGAGAGACGTATAAACCTAGCAGGATATTGTAGCATGAAGTTTCCTGCAGCACTTCTCCATTTCTTCCTGTTATTACATTGCTGTTCCTCCCTCCTCTGTATGGCCAACCGTTTGCTTCTACTGGCTGGGCTGACCCACCCTCCTTCGCTGGGGTAGCTCTAGGCCCCTGAGGTTGCACGCCCACTGGATCCTTTTTTCCTGCCTCCCAAAAGTCAGTGGCGTAGGTTTGAGCTGTTAAACGTTGTTTCCAGTGCTAAAACCATCCGTGGGTTCACACGGAGGTGTGGGGCTGCTCGGTTTACTCGTTTTTTTTTTTTTTTTTCTGGAGGAGAAAGATGTTTCCTCCCCTTCTGAGGCGAAACGAAGCGTCAGGCGGAGTTTGGAACTCCGTGCCGTGCCTTCCGGAGAAGCGGCACCTCGTTCCTCATCCCGCCGTCTCTTCGGGCCCCGCTGTGTCAGGGAGAGGGAAGGCAGACGGGGTCTGTTTGAATCCCAGGACTCTGGGCGAGGATGTGCTCGTGCTCCCAGCGCATCCCTAGGGTTGCTAAGCCAGCCGCGTAGTTCTGACATAAAATTTACCGTCTCAGCCACCCGCGGGGTGGGGCTGCGGGCTCAGCCGTGCTGGTTCCTCCTTCCCAGGACATCGAGTGTCTGGCGAGCGACGGGATGCTGCTCGTCAGCTGCTGCCTGGTGGGCCAGATCCGCGTGTGGGACGCTCAGACTGGCGACTGCCTCACCGTGATTCCCAAACCCAGGTAAGCGGTGCCCGCGGCAGCTCCCTCGCCTGCGGGCGGGCCACCCCCCCCCCCAGTCGCCGCTCGGGCAGCTGCTGCAAACCCCCCGGGGGGGGCGATGGGCCCGCTCCGACTTGGCAGGGGTGGGGGGCCTGAGCCTTTTGTCGCTGTGTTTCAGGTTGCGAAGGGACAGCAGTGGCGTTTTTGATTACCAGGAGAGTTGGGATCATAGTCCGGATGGCAAGAATGGTCCGGACGACTCTTTCGAGAACAGCCACCAGCTCAAAAGGATGCTGAGCGCCCCGCAGCCTCTGCTTTTCTGCGACCAGCCAGACCTCACGTCTCTCATCGACACGAACTTCTCCGAGCGGGTGAAGGTGGCCGAGTCAGAGCCGCGGCTCCGTGCGGTGGGCGGCCGCCAGAAGGAGACGGGCTACGACTTCAGCAGCCTGGTCGGGAAGGCGTACGAGGAGCACGGCACCTCCAACGGCCTGAGCTTCGCCGGGCCCCCCGCCCCGCCCGGGCAGGCCGGCTTCTGCGCGGGGAGCGGCGGCGCCCGGGGCTGCGGGGCCGAGGAGGGCGGCTGCGCCGGCCGCAGGAGGAGCCTGGGGGACGACCCCCTGACGGGATTTGACGGATCGTCCCCGCTTCCTTCCTGGGGGGGAGACTTGGAGAGCTCTGTCTGGAGCCTGGACCTGCAGGGGAATCTGATCGTGGCCGGCCGGAGCAACGGGAAGCTGGAGGTGAGGAGCAAGGCTCGCTGCCAGCCCCGGCGCTGGCTCGGCTGCCCGCGGCTCCCTAAGGCTGGAGGAGCGTAAAGATTGCCCTGTCACTGAGTAGCGCTGCTGGTCAGCCATGAAATGAGGTAAAACGAACGGGAGTTCTCCAGGAGTCGTCCAGGTTCTGGCGCAAATCTTAATCGGAAGTTTAAATGGCTTCCAACGAGGAGCCTTCAGGATTAGGTTTGGTTTTAATTTTGGGTTTTGGAAACGAAGTCAGAATTCTTCCGTGCTGGTCAGCCATGAAATGAGGTAAAATGAACAGGAGTTCTCTAGGAGTGATCCAGGTTCTGGCGTAAATTTTAATCGGAAGTTTAAATGGCTTCCAACGAGGAGCCTTCAGGATTAGGTTTGGTTTTAATTTTGGGTTTTGGAAATGAAGTCAGAATTCTTCCTTGCTGGTCAGCCATGAAATGAGGTAAAATGAACAGGAGTTCTCTAGGAGTGATCCCAGGTTCTGGCGTAAATTTTAATTGGAAGTTTAAATGGCCTCCAACGAGGAGCCTTCAGGATTAGGTTTGGTTTTAATTTTGGGTTTTGGAAACAAAGTCGGAATTTTTCCTTGCTGGTCAGTCACGGAACAGGAATTCTCTAGGAGTGATCCAGGTTCAGGAGCAAATTTTAATCAGAAGTTTAAATGGCCTCCAACGAGGAGCCTTCAGGATTAGGTTTGGTTTTAATTTCGTTTTTGGAAACGAAGTCGGAATTTTTCCTTGCTGGTCAGTCACGGAACAGGAATTCTCTAGGAGTGATCCAGGTTCTGGCGTAAATTTTAATCGGAAGTTTAAATGGCTTCCAACGAGGAGCCTTCAGGATTAGGTTTGGTTTTAATTTTGGGTTTTGGAAATGAAGTCAGAATTCTTCCGTGCTGGTCAGCCATGAAATGAGGTAAAATGAACAGGAATTCTCTAGGAGTAGTCCAGGTTCTGGCGCAAATTTTAATCGGAAGTTTAAATGGCTTCCAACGAGGAACTTTCATGTTTAGGTTTGATTTTAATTTTGTTTTTGGAAACGAAGTCGGAATTTTTCCTTGCTGGTCAGTCACGGAACAGGAATTCTCTAGGAGTGATCCAGGTTCAGGAGCAAATTTTAATCGGAAGTTTAAATGGTCTCCAACAAGGAACTTTCAGGATTAGGTTTGGTTTTAATTTCGTTTTTGGAAATGAAGTCAGGATTCTTCCTTGCTGGTCAGCCATGAAATGAGGTAAAATGAACAGGAGTTTTCTAGGAGTGATCCAGGTTCTGGCGTAAATTTTAATCGGAAGTTTAAATGGCCTCCAACGAGGAGCCTTCAGGATTAGGTTTGGTTTTAATTTTGGGTTTTGGAAATGAAGTCAGAATTCTTCCGTGCTGGTCAGCCATGAAATGAGGTAAAATGAACAGGAGTTCTCTAGGAGTGATCCCAGGTTCTGGCGCAAATTTTAATCGGAAGTTTAAATAGCTTCCAATGAGGAACTTTCATGTTTAGGTTTGATTTTAATTTCGTTTTTGGAAACGAAGTCGGAATTTTTCCTTGCTGGTCAGTCACGGAACAGGAATTCTCTAGGAGTGATCCAGGTTCTGGCGCAAATTTTAATCGGAAGTTTAAATGGTCTCCAACAAGGAACTTTCAGGATTAGGTTTGATTTTAATTTCGTTTTTGGAAATGAAGTCAGAATTCTTCCTTGCTGGTCAGCCATGAAATGAGGTAAAATGAACAGGAGTTCTCTAGGAGTGATCCAGGTTCTGGCGTAAATTTTAATCGGAAGTTTAAATGGCTTCCAACGAGGAGCCTTCAGGATTAGGTTTGGTTTTAATTTTGGGTTTTGGAAATGAAGTCAGAATTCTTCCTTGCTGGTCAGTCACGGAACAGGAATTCTCTAGGAGTGATCCAGGTTCAGGAGCAAATTTTAATCGGAAGTTTAAATGGTCTCCAACAAGGAACTTTCAGGATTAGGTTTGATTTTAATTTCGTTTTGGAAATGAAGTCAGGATTCTTCCGTGCTGGTCAGCCATGAAATGAGGTGAAATGAACAGGAATTCTCTAGGAGTGATCCAGGTTCTGGCGCAAATTTTAATCGGAAGTTTAAATGGCTTCCAATGAGGAACCTTCAGGATTAGGTTTGATTTTAATTTCGTTTTTGGAAACAAAGTCAGAATTTCTCCTTCAAACTAAATACGGGGTTTTTTTAAACAAACGTGTTTCAAAATAAAATTTTCAATGATTTTTGACCTGTTCCACCCGGGCTGCGTGTGAGCAGCTCTCACTCTTCCCATCAAAGGCACAGGCAGGCCGCTCCGCCGCTTTTCTTTGTCCTTTAGGTATTGTTTGGAGCTCAGACAGTTCCTTCTGAGCTGCTGCCATGAGACCCTGACTGAGTTTTGCTGCCGAATCTTCTCTCCAGTGCGTGTCGCGATATTTCTTCAAAATCCAGAGCGCTGGCTGCTCGGGCCAGGGCAGGTGCGGGGCTGCTGGTGGGGCCGGGGGGCTGCAGGCTGCCCGAGTGCTGCAGCGGGGCTGGCGCTCGCCGGGCAGTGTTGATGAAAATACCATTTAACAGCAGCCAGGCTAGAAAGAAAAAGAGGACGGCGTGAGCTGAGGTCCCCCCCCCCCCCCGGTGCGGGGGGCCCCTGGGCAGGGCCTCCGGTCCGACCGCCGGGTTCTCTCTCGCGGCGTTAACCCCGTCTCCTTCCAGGTCTGGGATGCCATCGAGGGGACCCTCCGCAGCAGTAACGAGGAGAGCCAGTCTGGCATCACCGCGCTCGTCTTCCTGAACAACAGGTGAGGGCGTCGGCGCATCGGTGCTTCCCTGCGAGGGGAGGGGGAGGGCAGGACCCCCGGCCCTGACCCTCCTGCCACGGCGGCCCGACAGCTCGGGCTGGCCGAGGCTCAGCTGGGGAGTCTCTTCCTCCCCACCCGTCCACCTCTCGAGCTGGGCTCTGTGGAGCGAGCTTTCCCGGCTCCGCGTCTGCTCCAGCAGCCGCTTCTGCATCCGCACACTCGGTTTTGCTGGTGGCTGAACATCCAGAACAATTCCAGGCTGGGCCCTGGGGCCTTTGGGTCGCTGCTGCTGTTTTTCAAGAGGCGCCACCAGCTCCCAGTTTATTCTGCAGTCTGAGCTCAGTATCGTTTCCGAGCTCTCTTCCTTGCGGGGGGGGAGTTGCCCCCTCACGGGGGGGGGAGCCTGCGTGGTTTGTGTTCCGCCTCGGACGGGGCCTGGTCTCGGGGCTCCTCGCCCCGCGGGAGCGGGGAAGGGGCCTCTCCTCACGTCCCTGCCTTCCTCCCTCAGGATCGTCGCTGCCCGCTTGAACGGCTCGTTGGATTTCTTTTCGCTCGAGACACGCACGTCCCTGAACCACCTGCAGTTCCGAGGTAAGCAGGCGCCCAGGCACGCTGCGCGCTGCTCTGAGCTCCTCCCGGCCTTGTCCCTCGCCTCCTTGCAGCTTCCTCACACCCTCTTCATAAGCTTTTGTAACAATGCTCCGCTCTAAACCCAGCTGCTGTGGAGAGGTGAGGAACACTCGGGGAGTTCCCTATGCAGGGAGGGCGCCCTGAGGGCTGGTTTTCTCCAGTGCAGAGGTCTGGAGGCCAAGACGTGCGTTCCAGTGTCAGCTCTGCCCTGTGCTTCTTCCCTTTCCCACTTCTCACTTACTCCCTCCTTCAGCCGGGTCTGTTCTCCCTCGTTTGCACACCCTGCAGCCCTACGCCACCACGACACGCCCAAAACCAGTCCGTGGTGGTTACCCGTTCGCAGCGCGGCGGCTCCTTCGGTTCTGGAGCGGCCTGGAGGGGAGAAGGAACCCTGGCTTTCCTCCGGGAGAGCCGTTGCGTTCCCGGAGGAAGCTCAGCGCCGTTTCTCGGGGCGTGAGGGCTGCGGCTGCTGCAGCGAGGACTTACCCGCCCGTCTCGCCGCAGGAGCCCCGAGCAGGAGCAGCATCCCGTCCTCCCCCGTGTTCAGCGGCGGCGACATCATCGCGTGTCAGCTCACCCACACCGTGTCCTGCGCCCACCAGAAGCCCATCACGGCGCTGAAGGCTGCGGCAGGACGCCTGGTCACTGGGAGCCAGGACCACACTCTGAGAGTAGGGGGCTCCCTCGGCCCGGGGGGGGGGGGGGGGGTCGGGGTCCGATCCAGCGCGTTCCCCAAGCTCCCCGTGTTGTTTGCTCTGCCCGGCTGGGGCTCCTGGCAGCAGCTGGGAGGACAGAGCCCCGTGTGAGGCGTGGGCTGGGTGAGAGCCGGGTCTGGGTTCTGGCTTAGTCACAGAATCACTGAGGTTGGGGAAAAAACCCTTCAGCTCATCGAGTCCAGCCGCTCCCCCGGCACCGCTGAGCCACGTCCCTCCGCGCCGCATCCACGCGGCTTTTAAATCCCTCCCGGCACGGTGACTCAGCCCGTTCCGGAAAGGGAAGGAATATTTTCCTAATCCCCAACCTAACTCCCCCCCCCCCCCCCCCCGGCACAACCCGAGGCCACCTCCTCTCATCCTATTGCTTGTGAGGCTCGGGAAGCACCGCGCTGCGGCACGGCCGCCCCGCGCCCACCCGCGTCTGCCCCCTCTGCCCCGCAGGTGTTTCGGCTGGAAGACTCGTGCTGTTTGTTCACGCTGCAGGGTCACTCGGGGGCCATCACGGCCGTCTACATCGACCAGGTAAAGCGCAGCTGGCTCCGCGCCGGGACAAACGTCCCTGACCCACGGCTGCCGAGCGCGGCTCTGAAGGCAGAGCCGGGACCGCGGGGCTGGAACTGGCCCCGGGGAAATGTTCCCCAGCCCTCGCGGGGACCTGGCTCCGCAGCGAGGGGGGCGGAGGCCGAGCGCCGCCGCGCTGCCCTGCCGGCGCTGGCGAGGTGAGCGAGGCCGAGGACCGAGCCTTGCAGGGCCTGCCCTGCCACGAGCATCCCGCGGGGAGGAGGAGGAGGAGGAGGAGGAGGAGGAGGGCTGCGCCTGGGTGCTCTCGTCACGGGTGGAGTGACGCTCTTCCCTTGTGAGAGAGAAGTAGCCACGTGCTTATTGGTGTAAACCAGCAATTTGGCAGAGCTGGATAGAAACGCGACGTAGGTCTGGTGGCGAGGTTCGCGCGACAGTTACTGCGTAGGGGACGGGGTCAGACAAAACTGTCCGGGAGAGCCTCCCCGTGAGTCCCGGGGTTCAGAGGGGACCCCCCCCCCCCCCCCGTGGCCCTTCCCAACTGCTCAGAGAGGGGTCTGCGTGCGGCTGGATCCACTCCTGGCCCCCGACGAGGCTTCCTGCCTAACGGGCCGTACGTGCGCCATGGGTCCTTCCTGTGGGCCCTCAGGGGGTGTCGTACGCTGGGCTCGCGCTCGCGCTTACACGCCGGCCTCGGAAATGAGGGTCCTGCAGTCGGGCCCTGACCGGCACCCCGGCGAGGTGGGCGCGTTGTTCAAATCGGCGCTCGGCCGTTGGGGTGCTCCCTGTGTCTGACGATGGGTCCCACTGGAGTGGGGTGCCGGGAAATCCAGGTCGGGGCGAGGCGGGGAGCGCGCCGCCACGGCGTCACACAGATTTAGGATGCTCTGCACCTCAGCGGGCCCGGGGGGGTTGGGGATTTAACACCCCCCCCCCGCCCCGGCCTGCTGGAACGCCCGGACACAGGCAGGGAGAGACGCGGCGCTGGCGGTTCGGCTCCATCCCAGCTCCCTGTGACCAAATCCCGGGCGCGTGCCCGGAGCGCTGCCGGCGCTGCCGTGTGGGTGGAAGGGGCCCCTGTGCTCTGCGCCTTCCTGAGCCGCCTCTGCCCGTGTCCCCGCAGACGATGGTGCTGGCGAGCGGAGGCCAGGACGGTGCCATCTGCCTCTGGGACGTGCTGACGGGGAGCAGGGTCAGCCACATGTACGCCCACCGAGGGGACGTCACGTCCCTCACCTGCACAACGTCCTGCGTCATCAGCAGCGGCTTGGACGACGTGATCAGCATCTGGGACCGCAGCTCGGGGATCAAGCTCTATTCAATCCAGCAGGTCGGCGGCGGGGGAGCGGCCGGGGGGGGGGTTAAGGGTGCTCGGGGGCTTTTCTGAACCCCACCACAGCCTCGAGGTCACCTCTGCTGGGCTTGGGGCCTCAGCGCCTCTGTTTAAACTTCCCTGCTTGTAACTCGTAGAATCCTGGAACGGTTTGGGCTGGGAGGGACCTCAGAGCCCCCCCAGTGCCCCCCCCTGCCCCACGCAGGGCCCCCTTCCCCCAGCCCAGGGGGCTCCCAGCCCCGTCCAACCTGGCCTTGAACCCTTCCAGGGAGGGGGCACCCACAGCTGCTCTGGGCACCCTGGGCCAGCGCCTCCCCCCCCGCACAGGGAACAATTTCTGCCTCAGATCTCACCTAAATCTCCCCTCTTTCAGCTTAAAACCGTCCCCTCTCGTCCTACCCCCACCCCCTGACCCAGAGTCCCCCCCCCACCTCCCCTGTCCCCCCTTTAAGCCCTGGGAGGCCGCTCGAAGGTCCCCCCGGAGCCTTCTCTTCTCCAGGCTGAACCCCCCCAACTCTCTCAGCCCGGCCCCCCAGGGGAGCTGCTCCAGCCCCCCCAGCATCTCCGTGGCCTCCTCTGGCCCCGCTCGAGCAGCTCCGTGTCCTTCTGCTGTTGGGGGCCCCCGAGCTGGCCCCAGCACTGCAGGGGGGTCTCCCCAGAGCGGAGCAGAGGGGGACAATCCCCTCCCTGGCCCTGCTGCCCCCCCTGCTCTGGCTGCAGCCCAGGGCACGGGTGGGTTCTGGGCTGCCAGCGCACGGGGCTGCCTCACGGGCAGTTTTCCCCCCACCAGCCCCCCCAGTCCCTCTCCTTGGGGCTGCTCTCCAGCCACCCCTCGAGGGCCCAGCCTGGGTCTGTGCTGGGGATTGCCCCGACCCACGGGCAGCACCTTGCCCTCGGCCTTGCTGAACCCCAGGAGGTTTGCCCGGGCCCCTCGGGGTGTCACCGTGATGTCCGTGACCTCAGGGAAGTCCCGACCCGGGCGCAGCCGCCGGGGTTCCCCGCGTCTCGCCGACCGTTGCTCTGGTCCCACGCAGGAGCTGGGCTGCGGCGCCAGCCTGGGCGTCATCTCCGACAACCTCCTGGTGACGGGGGGCCAGGGCTGCGTCTCCTTCTGGGACATCGGCTACGGGGACCTGCTGCAGACCGTCTACCTGGGCAAGAGCAACGAGGCGCAGCCGGCGCGGCAGATCCTGGTGCTGGAGAACGCCGCCATCGTCTGCAACTTCGGGAGCGAGCTCAGCCTGGTCTACGTGCCCTCGGTGCTGGAGAAGTTGGACTGAGGGGAGGGGGGCACACGGGGGGCCCAGAGCCCCTCTGGGTGTTGAAGGGGGGGGGGCTCTGTCCCTCCTAAACCGGACTTTTGTCACCTGATGGTTGTGGGTCCGCGCCCTCCTCCCCGACACCCCCCCCCCCCTATTTCCTGCACCTTCCGTGAGGGCTCCCCCCAGGGAGGGGGCAAGGACTGAGCACCCTGCACAGGATGGGGCCACGGGGGGGGGGACACACCCCATCACCCTCTGCCTGTACCCCACCCCCGGCTCGTGGGGGACCCCCCCAGCCCAGGCACTTGGCCCCCAAGTGCCTTAGAGCGTGGGCAGGGCGCCCCCCCCCCCCCGCCCTATTTATTTATACGCTGTATATATTTATTTATTATGGCAGGAGAGCGCTGGGGCAGCCACCCGCCTCCCTCCTCCTCTGCCCGGTTTGCAGCAATAGCACCTTCCTCCTCCTCCTCCTCCTCCTCCTCCCTGGGTGGGGCTGGAGGAGGCTCCTCAGGCTGGGAGGGGGCAGGCAGCCCTTGCCCCCCCCCTCTCCCGGGTGTGGGGGGAAGAGGAGGCAGCAGGACCCAAAACTCCTCCAGTGGGGGCCGGGAGGACACCACCCCCCCCACCCCCAGTCCCTCCAGTGCTCCCATCGTGTCTGGGCTGGGGGGCTCGGGGGGGGGGGACCCCAGGGCCTGGGTGCGGCTGCGGGGGGGTGGGGGTGGCGAGGGGGGGTCCTTAGTTTCGCCCCCCCCCCCCCCAGCCTCGGGTGGCCTTAGCCCAGCTGTACGCTTTGTTCTGTACAGGGGACGCTTTTTGTACCAGATCGTGTTTTATAACGTGTACGAGGACACCTCCAGTAAACAGAACTAACCCGAGCCCGGTGCCACACACCCCCCCCCGCCCCCCCAAAACCGTGACCCCCCCCCCCTCGCCCCGGCGGGGAGCAGAGACACCCCCCCCCCCCAGCGTCTGCGGCTCAAACTCTTTTATTTTAGTAGCAAAGAGCTGAAAAAGTCAGTGCTCAGTGGAGTCGAAGGAGGAGGCGAGCGCCCGCGTTACACCTGTACAAAGCAGAGGGCTGGGGGGGGGGGGAAGAAGGCAGCCCTCCCCCCCCCCCCCCCCCAATTTTGGGGTGCCCCCCCCCCCCCCTCACGTCTTGTTGAGCGTCCAGAGCGGGTCCAACATGCTGAGGGGGTCGTCGCTGGGCCGGGGGCCGCGCAGCCCCTCGCCCGCCTGCGCCTGCAGGAAGTTCTGCTTGTTCATGCGCTGTTTGCCCTTGAGGGAGGCGTCGAGGCTGAAGGCCTCGGGGCGCAGGGAGGCCAGCAGCTCCAGGGGGGAGGAGGAGGAGGAGGAGGAGGAAGGGGGGGCTGCGGGGGGCGGGGGGGGGGGGCAGCGGCTCCCCCCCTGGGGGTTCGGGGCTCTCCGGAGCGGGGGTGCTGCTCTCAGGGAGGGGCGGCTGCGGGGGGGAGGGCGAGGGGACCCCAACTCCCCCCTCCGGCATCCCGCCGCCCTCGGGGAGGGGCTGGGGGGGATCTGGGGAGGGGGGGGCGGGATCGGGGTCGCCCCCGGCCCCCCCAGCTTTGATGCTCAGCTTGGCGATGGTGGCCTGGATGGAGCTGATGGGCACGTCCCCCCCCAGCACCAGGTCCTGGGGGTCCTGCGGGCAGTAGAGCTGTGGGAGAGAGGTGACACCCCCACCCCCACCCCACCATCTGTGAGCCCCACGGTTGGGGGGGGGGGGGGGGGAGTAGAGCCCCCTCCCCGCCCCACACACACACACCACCTACCTTGGGCGAGGCGCTGTTGGGGGGCCGGGGCGCAGGGGGGGGCCCCCACGCCGTGGCGCTGCAGCACCCGCTCGGCCTGCAGCAGGACGGCCTCGTAGCAGAACTTGAGGTGAAGCTGCCGGAGTTGGGGGGAGCAGAATGAGCGCCCCCCCCCCAACAGCCCCAAAACCGGGGGTGGGGTGTACATCCCCCCCCCCCCACACACTCCCCCCCCCGGTACCTTCTCCTGCAGCATGTGCTTGCGCTGCTGCCGCATCCGCCTCACCAGCTGCGCCAGGTCGGGGATCCCGTTCCCGGCCTCCAGCTCCTGCACGGCCGCGTACAGCAGGCAGAAGGCGCCGGTGCGGCCCACGCCGGAGCTGCAGAGACACCCCCCCACCCCGCCAAACTCTGGCTGGGACAGGCTCAACTTATTTTTTTTTGGGGGGGGGGGGGGAACCCGCAGGACCCCCCCCCGCCAATCCCCCTCACCTGCAGTGCACCACGAGCGGCGTGTGCAGCGGGCGCTGGTGCAGGTAGTGGCCGTGCACCTCCTGGATGAAGTGGAGGAGGCTCGCCTTGCTGTCGGGCAGACCCCTGGGGGGGGGACATGCACACATTTTGGGGGGGGGGGGGACACACATACACTCATTTGGGGGGGGGGGGGGCGCAGAATGGGACACATTCATTTGGGACACACACACATTTGGGGGGGACACGCCCATTTTGGGGTGGGGCATGCTCATTTTGGGGGGGGGACAGACGCGCATTTTGGGGGAGGAAAAGACACGCTGATTTGGGGGGGGGAAAGACACTCATTTTGGGGGGGGGACACAATCTCATTTCGGGGGGGGACATGCTCATTTGGGGGGGGGACACGCTCATCTGGGGGGGGGGACACGCTCATTTTGGGGGGGACACATTTTTGCGAGGGAGACATTTTGGGGGGGGACACACGCTCATTTGGGGGGGGATGGACACACTCATTTTGGGGGGGAACAGACACGCTCATTTGGGGGGACAGACGCTCATTTTGGGGGGGGACAGACACGCTCATTTGGGGGGGGGAAAGACACTCATTTTGGGGGGAGGACACAATCTCATTTGGGGGGGGACACGCTCATTTTGGGGGGACACATTTTTGCGAGGGAGACATTTGGGGGGGGACACACACGCTCATTGGGGGGGGGGGGACAGACACGCTCATTTTGGGGGGGAACAGACACGCTCATTTTGGGGGGGGACAGACACACTGATTTGGGGGGGGATGGACACACTCATTTTGGGACACACACAGACACACTCCAACCCCCTCCCCACACCAGCGCTGCAGCCCTGAGCCCCCGTTCCCCCCCCCAAAAAGCAGCGAACACGCAGCACAGGGGCCTCCCCCCCCCCCCCCCCAGTTCCCCCCCCCCCCAGCCCCGTACAGCTCCGGCCAGGAGGTGAACTGGAGGTGGACCACGGTGCGTTTGAGGCTCTGGTCGCGGTACTGCAGCGTGATCATCCTCTCCACGTGGGTGGGGGCGACCTTCACGCTGGTGAGCACGAGGGTGACGGGTCCCTGCACCAGGGGCTGGCCCCGCTCGGCGGGGAAATACCGCAGCACCTTCTGCTGCAGGAGCCGGAGTGGGGAGTGGGGAGGGGGCACCGTTAGGGGCTGCACAAAGCGACCCCCCCAAACCCCCAACCCCCCCAGCGGGCCGGCCCTTACCTTGTCCAGCTCCTGCTCCGACACCAACATGACGACGACGGAGACTCTCTGCTCGTGGACCATGAGCCAGAAGTCGGCGGCGGTGCCCAGCAGCGGGGCCTGGGTGGCGATGAGGGGGGGGCAGTAAGGCGACAGCTCCTCCACCCGGCTGGCGTTGATGTAGTCGTCCTTCCCCGAGCGCAGCACCACGCGGTTGCGGTCGTACGGCATCACGTCCTGGTGGCGGTTCTTCATGGAGTAGCAGCGGGCGATGGCGATGGAGAGCTGCCGGGCGTCGCGCTCCTGCCCTTCCTGCAGCTCCTTCCAGACGGCGTCGAGCGGGGCCGGGCCGCCGGCCGCCGGCCTCTCCAGCCCCGCCACCGCCCCTCGGAAGCGGCCCAGCTCCGCCAGCAGCCGCAGCACCCGCTCGGGCCGGGCGTAGGGGTCCGTTTCGATCAGCTGCACCGGTTTGGGTTTTTTCGGCCCGTCTTGGGCCGACGCTTTGGTGGGTTGGAGCAGGGGGTGGCCCCCCGCCGCTTGGCAGCCGCCGGGCTGGCTCTCCGGGCTGGAGGAGAGGAGGTCGTCGGTGGAGGAGGTCTGGCGCTGGAAGGAGGCTTCGCCGGGGGGGGGTCTGGGAGGGGGGGCCCCCCCCGAACCGGGCACCAGCTGCGGGGAGGGGGCTGGGGAGGGGACCAGGGGGCCCTGGACCACCACGGCGGCCGGCAGCTGGCCCAGGCCCGGGCTGGCGGCAGGGGGGATGTGGTGGGGAGCGGTTTGGCTAGCCGGGGGGGGCGCGGGGGGGGCCCAGGGCCACGGTGCTGGGGGGGAGCAGGGCTGGGGCAGAAGGGGAGAGCGGGGGAGCTGGCGGGCACCGGGGGCGGCAGCCCCCCCAGAGCGGCACGCAGGGCCGGGGGGCCGCTCGGGCCGGGGGCGCTGGGGAAGGGCAGGGTCCCCGCTGGGGGGGGGGCGAGGCCCTGGGGGGGCAGCTTGTCCTGCGCCGGGAGCTGGTAGAGTTGGGGTGGCAAGGGGGGCTGCCCCCCGGGCCCGGGGAACTGGGCAAACTGGGGCTGGGGGGGCAGCGGGAAGGAGAGAGGGACCTGGGCTCTCCCTGGGGGGGGCAAAAAGGGGGCTGGGGGGAAAGCTGGGGGGCCCTGGGCACGAGGGGCCACCTCCATGGGGGGGGCAAAGGGGTGTGGGTGCTGCCCGGGAGGGAAGGGGTGCTGGGCCGGCTGCCCGAAGGGCTGCAGCCCCCCCTGGCCATAGGGGAAGGGGGCAGGGGGCCCCCCCGGGGCGAGGAAGGGGCCGGGGGGGCCGGGGGGGGGCAGCGCAGCTGGAGATGGGGGCCTGGACACTGTCCACCGTGGTGGTGGCCGGGCGGGCAACCGGGGCCAGCTCGGGACCGCCCGCCTGTGGCTGGGCACCCATGGGTGCTGCACCCAGAGCCGGGGGCTGGAGGGGGGGCACCCCGGGCTGGGCCAGGCTGTAGGAGGCGGCGGGGGGAGCGTGCTGCGGGGAGGAGCGGGGGGGAAGGCCGGGGGGGGGGCCCCCGTAAGTTGGCAGCAGCGGGGCGGGCGGGAAAAGCTGGGGGGCAGAAGCCGGGGCTGATGTGGGGGGGGGGCCCGGTCTGGTGGGGGGCAGAGGGCTGCAGGAGCTGCAGCGGGGCCCCCCCGGCGCGGGGAAAAGGACCTGGTGCCGCGGGGGGTGCTGCCGGCAGCCGGTAGTGGCCGGGGAGGGTGGGGGGCCCCGGGAAGCGCACCGAGGGGGCGAAGGGCTGCAGCGGGGCGCTGGCCAGCCGGGCCGTGGGCAAGAAGGGCTCGGGGGGTCGTAGCCCAGCGGCCAGGGCGGCCAGCGCGGGGGGGGGCAGGCGGGCCAAGTGGGCTGCCAGCACGTCCGGGGGTAAATTACGCAGCTCCTCCGGCAGCTCCGACAGCACCAGGGAGCTCAGCGAGGGCAGGTCGCCGGCGTCCAGCTCCCCCGGAGGCTTCTTCTGCAGGGCGGGTTTGGGGGCCGTGGGCCTGGGGGGTGGCTGCTTCTTCAGCTCCCTGCCGGGGGGGGGAAAAAATCAGCAAGGGGGCTGCCCACGCCCCCTGGGGTACAGCGAGCCAGCGCGCCCAAGGCAAACCCTGGAGGCGCACCCACAGGTTCTCCCCCACCTCCCGGGGAGGGGGGGAGGGCACAGCGGGGACCCCCACCCCCCCCTTTTACACCCCACTCCTCCCACCCGCGTCTCGGGCACCACCTACTTCTCCAAAATCTGTTGCCTGTTGGCCTCGGCGGCTTGGCAGGCGGCCCGGGCTTTCTCCAGCAGCTTGGCGGCCTTCGCCTCCAGGTCGGTGTAAAAATCCTTCCCCTCCTGCGATTTCTTCATCAGGTCCTCGTAGGCTTCATAGGAGGCCACCAGGGTCTGAACGGTGGTGTTCCACCTGGGGATGGGGCGGGGGGGGTGCTGTCAGTGGGGACACCCGGTCGAAGCGGTGGTCGCGTTTTTGGGGAACCCACCAGCACCCACCGGGATGGAGCTGGGTGGGGGACACGCAGCCAGGGCTGGGCATGACGGGGGACGCGCTGAAGATGCTGGTTGTGACCCAACACATCTCCCTTGGGTGGGTGAGGGTCCCAGGCACCCAGAGCCCGCCAGAGCCCCCCCAGAGTCCCCCAAGACCCCGCCAGAGCCCTCCAGAGCCCCCCACCGAGTCCCCCCAGACCCCACCAAGACCCGCCAGGCCCTCCAGACCCCCCCAGAGCCCCCACCAGAGCCCCCCGAGACCCCACCAAGACCCCGCCAGAGCCCTCCAGAGCCCCTTGAGACCCCACCAGAGCCCCCCGAGACCCCACCAGAGCCCCCCGACCCCGCCAGAGCCCTCCAGAGCCCCTTGAGACCCCACCAGAGCCCCCGAGACCCCACCAGAGCCCCCGAGACC